GCAGAAACTCATTAGGATTGGCTACATTAGGGGTGTGTGGCCCAACATGCAAAGGAGTTCCTGCTACAAAAAAGCCCTGGGTTTGGACAACAAACAAGGTAAACAGAATAAGAAGCAAAAGGTGGGTGTGGCTGGATGAGCACACTTCTGGTAACATGGGGGAGTGGCCTAATAGCCAATGAGCTGTGTTGTCAGGGGTGTGGCCTAATATGCTAATGAGTTTCTGCTGTTGGGTGTGGCCTATTATGCTAATGAGTTCCTGCTGGGCTTTTTCTACAAAAACAAGCCCTGACTATCGGGGCTGCAAATGGCAGGGTCTAGGGTTTGACCCTGGAGGTGCTGCGTGGGGAAGTCGGAATCGGGACTTCTGCCTGTTCGCACGTCCTTCTCCTCCCCTCGCCCTGTTTTTGGGGCCATTTGGGAGTAAACGGCAGGGCTTGCCCCCCACCACCTCTCCTGTCCAAAGTGCCTGGGCCGGTAAAATCATTGCCGGACAGGGAGGTTTTCACTCGCCACGGCACTAGGTTCTCTTTCTGGCTCTCTCCTCAGGGTGCACGGATGATATCGTGAGCAGCGACCACTCCCCGGTCTTTGCGGCTTTTGAAGTTGGAGTGACATCCCAGTTTGTTTCCAAGAAAGGTACCGGGATGGAGAAGACAAAACGTGTTTGTGTGTGAGAGAGAAAGAAAGTAGAAGAGGAGGTGGAGGCACTTTTGGGACTCTGACACGCAGGGGCGGATGAAGGCTCACTCGTGCCCCCAGCACTGACCAATCTTGGTGCCCCCCTCCTTTCCGCACTGTCATGACAACTGAATTTGGCTCCATCCTTTTACTTTTAAACAGATGCATTTTACTTTTCAACATAGCCTGTGACACTGCACTTCGCCAACAAAAAATAGAAGATAACCCTAGGGTGCACCATGATCAATTTGCAATAGTTTTATCAATTTTATCCTTTTTTTTTTTACAAATCTTCATTCGTTTTTTTTTTCCTTTTCACCCTTTCCCCAACTTTGTGGTGCCCCCTTTGGCCCTGGTGCCCTAAGCACGGGCTTAGTCTGCTTCATGGTTAATCCGGCCATGCTGACATGGTGTGGTGAGCACAGCCACAAAATGGCCGCCGCAGGAGGCGAGGCCAGACACAAAATGGCTGCCGCCATCTTACCCTCAGTCACACAGTGAAGATCCTTCTGCTGGGGTGGCGGCTGTTACCAGAGCAACCTGTTTACCTGGATCCCTATTCCTTATGGAACTTAACTCTTCCCTCCCCCCCCCCCATGTACGTGTGAAGCACTCACAGACCACCAGACATGGGAGGGAACTGCAAAAACTTTCGCCGCTTGCTTTTAATCGTTGTATGCAGCTGGGATATGGTTTTTATGTTTGTAGAATTTTTTGTGCATTGCCTAGAGCAATTGGGCAATTAATAAATGGAATATAATAAATAATAAATGTGCAGAAACCTGCACAGCCAGTCAGAAGCCTGGATGGCCAGAACCCTCACTTGGTCCCACCCACTTTTTAAGAACACTGGGCGGGCACCAGGGAAAGTGTCCATGGGTGTCATGGTGCCCGCGGGCACCGTGTTGGGCACCCCTGGAGTAAGGGATCAGTGGGGTCCACCCTAGACTGTACGTGGTCCTGAATTCAACATCCTTTCTGACGTTTTAGCCTTTAGTTTCTAGCCCTGAGGGCTTTGATGATAGGAAGCAAAGGGGAGGGCGGGGTCCAGGTGCACAGAGGGAGGGGGCGGGTCTGGGGATGCTCCGAGGCCTGACCCACCCGACCGCTCTCCTCCCCTGCCTCCAGGCCTTTCCAAATCTTCAGACCAGGCGTACATCGAGTTCGAGAGCGTCGAGGCCATCGTGAAGACGGCTAGCAGGACCAAATTCTTCATCGAGTTCTACTCCACGTGCCTAGAAGGTGGGGAAGGGAAGAGGGGCTCGCCTTTCTCCTGACAGTCTTTCTCTGGAATATTCTTGACTTCATTTCATTGATACCCCACCTTTCCCCAGTTTGGTGTCGTGGTTAAATGCACGGAGTCTAATCTGGGAGAACCGGGTTTGATTCCCCACTCCTCCACTTGCAGCTGCTGGAGGACCTTGGGCAAGCCATAGTTCTCTCAGAGCTGTCCTTGGAAAAGATCAGTTTCTGTCAGAGCTCTCTCAGCCCCGCCTACCTCACAGGGTGTCTGTTGTGGGGAGGGGGAGTGAAAGGAGATTGTAAACCACTCTGAGACTCCCTTGGGTAATGAAGGGTGGAGTATGAATCCAATCTCTTCTTCTGCAGTTTGGTGTAGTGGTTAAGTGCGCGGACTCTAATCTGGGAGAGCCGGGTTTGATTCCCCACTCCTCCACTTGCAGCTGCTGGATGACCTTGGGCAAGCCATAGCTCTGTCAGAGCTGTTCTCTCAAGAGCAGTCCTTGAAAGAGCTCTCTCAACCCCACCGACCTCACAGGGTGTCTGTTGTGGGGAGGGGGAGGGAAAGGAGTTTGTAAGCCACTCCTTTGGGTAGTGAAGGGCAGGGTATAAATCCAATCCTCTTCTTCTTTAATGGGGACCCAGAGGGGCTTCCCTTGTTCTCCTCTCTCATTTTGTCCTCACAATGAACCCTGTGAGGTAGGCCACGCCGACCGGCTGAAGGTCCCTGAGCAAAGTGTGAGGCCGAGTTGGGTTTGCAACCCTGGGTTCTCAGGTCCTCGTATAACAGTCTAGCTAGCCCCTGCCTCACACTTTTATGCCAGCATCTGCGTGCAGGCCTAGGAGGGCGTCCCTGTGGCCAGTGTTACCACAGTGGAATAATTCTCTCTGGAAACCCAAATGCGCAGAAGGCTTGGTCAGTTCATTGGTGCGTGGCATAGCAGGGCAGCTTCCCTACGGAGAACAGGGTCACAAATCTTTGCTGCACCGGCATTCGACAGAGGTGCCACCACGTTCCACAAAGGCTTGGAGAAACGACAACTGAGGGGGGACATGTTCCCTCTAAGCTGTGGAATCTTGTGAGCAAAAATTCAACTTTGTGAGCAACTGGCATTAAAGTTGTGAGCGAATGACTTGGCTGCTGCATAAATGTTTGCTTTGGAGCCCTCCTTTCTGAGCTAAGACAAAAATGTGTGAGCTGGAGGCTAAAAAACTGGGAGCTAGATCACACTCACTCAGCTTAGAGGGAACAAGTGCCTGACACGACACTTCGCGGGCGTGTCCGCTCTCGTGTCTGCAGTCCCGTTGTCCCAAGTCTGAAGCCCTTTTGCTCTTCCCCCAGAATTCAAGAAGGGATTCGAGAACGATTCTCAGAGCAGCGACAACATTAACTTCCTGAAGGTCCAGTGGTCCTCCCGGCAGCTACCCACGGTAAGAAGAGCTCTTTGCACTGCTCCCGCTCCACCCCCCCCGCCTCCTTAAGATGCACGAACCTGCAGCTTTTCCAGCAGTGCTGAAGTCTCCGAACCAACCTTCAGACTTGCTTGATCACCTGGTTTGTAGAAAACGTTTCTTCCCTGAGCCAGGCCAGATAGACTCTCAGGGCCGCTTGCAGACAGATGGGAAATACAGAACGCCAGTCACAGTAAGGTTCCAGGGATGAATACCCAGTGAAAATCCAGGAAGCCTCTGTAAAGCGGCCATCAGAAGAGCCAGATTGGAGTCCCAACGGCACCTCAGAGACCAACAAGATTTTTGCGGTCTAAACCTTTGAGAGTCAAAGCTTCCTTTGTCAGATAGGGACTTCCATTCTGACTTGTATCTGACGAAGGTAGCCAGTTTGGTGTCATGGCTAGGAGCACAGATTCTAGTCTGAGAGAACCAGGTTTGATTCCCCACTCTTCCATATGAAGTCAGGTGGGTGACCTTGGGTCAGTCACAAGTTATCTCGGATATGTTCTCCCAAGGTCAGTTCTCAAGAGAGCTCTCTCAGCCCTTCTTACCTCTCAGGATGTCTGTTGTACAGAAAGGAAGGGAAAGGAGACTGTAAGCCACTCTGAGACTCCTTTGGGTAGTGAAGGGCAGGGTACACATCCAATCTCTTCTGCTTCGTCGTCTTCTTTGACTCTTGGAAGCTCACACCCCAAAAATCTTGTTGGTTTCTAAGGTTCTCCTAGACTCAGATCTTTCTGCTCTGCAGCAGACGAACACAGCTAAGCACCTGAAACTATTAAAAGAACAGTATCATAGATGTCAGAATTCCAAAGGTGCCCACAGGGACAAAAAGGTTGGGGACTCCTGTTCTAGGGACTGATGTCCACAGATATGTGATCATCTGGCCTGCCAGCCATGCAAATGTGCGGAGGGCCTAGGTTGAAACCGTAGAGAACTGGAAGGTCCAGCTGGGGCCCCAGAGGGTATGACATGCGAATGTATCGCGAGGGCACCGTAAATGTGGAGAGCAACTTTGGTGTAGCGGTTAGGAGGAGCGCAGACTCTAATCGGGAAGAACCGGGTTGGGTTCCCCGCTTCTCCTCCACATGCAGCTGCTGGTGTGACCTTGGGTCAGCCACAAGTTCTCTCAGAGCTGTTCTCTCGAGAGCAGTCCTCGAAAGAGCTCTCTCCGCCCCACCTGCCTCACAGGGCGTCTGTTGTGGGGAGGGGAAGGGAAGGAGATTGTAAGCCACTCTGAGACCCCTTCCAGCATATATCCGGTATACATCCAATCACCTTCTTCTTCTTCCTCCTCCTCCCTTCTGCTGCTTTAAATTTGGAAACAGAATCACATGTCCAGTCCTCACCATCAGCTGCATGTCCACAGGTAGTGGTTAATTCATTAGCAATCAGTCTATAATTAGGGCAAATGGCTCCACCCAGGGATCATGTTGTAGAAAAAGAGGTGCAGGAGTGCATTTAATGTAGCATTTTTTCCCATTTTCCCGAACATTTCCGTGTTTTTTTCCCAAGCTTCAAAATTTCCGGAAATTTTACATCCCTACTCCTGACACGGCCTGCCCCAAACCAACTCTGCCTGTCTTCTCTGCCTACAGGTGAGAACCAACGTTCCCTCGTGGTGTGACCGCATCCTCTGGAAGTCGCACCCAGAGACCCACATCAATTGCAACTCTTACGGTGAGTCGTGCATATAGCAACCTGCAACATGGCGTGCTTTAGACACGACCGGGGCTGCAAATGGCAGGGTCTGGGGTCTGACCCTGGAGGTGCTGCGTGGGGAAGTCGGAATCGGGACTTCTGCCTGTTCGCACGTCCTTCTCCTCCCCTTGCCCTGTTTTTGGGGCCATTTGGGAGTGAACGGCAGGGCTTGCCCCCCACCACCTCTCCTGTCCAAAGTGCCTGGGCCGGTAAAATCATTGCCGGACAGGGAGGTTTTCGCTCGCCACGGCACTAGGTTCTCTTTCTGGCTCTCTCCTCAGGGTGCACGGACGATATCGTGAGCAGCGACCACTCCCCGGTCTTTGCGGCTTTTGAAGTTGGAGTGACATCCCAGTTTGTTTCCAAGAAAGGTACCGGGATGGAGAAGACAAAACGTGTTTGTGTGCGTGAGAGAAAGGAAGTGGAAGAGGAGGTCCCCAACCGCATTGACCCTGCAGGCCCTTCTGGAACTCTGACACGCAGGGGCGGATGAAGGCTCACTGGTGCCCTAAGCACTGACCAATCTTGGTGCCCCCCTCCTTTCCACACTGTCATGACCACTGAATCTGGCGACATCATTTTACTTTTAAGCACATGCATTCTACTTTTCAACATAGCCTGTGACACTGCACTTCGCCAACAAAAAATAGAAGATAACCCTAGGGTGCACCATGATCAATTTGCACTAGTTTTATCAATTTTATCCATTATTTTTTTTTACAAATCTTCATTCGTTTTTTGTTTTTTTCCTTTTCACCCTTTCCCCAACTTTGTGGTGCCCCCTTTGGCCCTGGTGCCCTAAGCACGGGCTTAATCTGCTTCATGGTTAATCCAGCCGTGCTGACATGGTGTGGTGAGCACAGCCACAAAATGGCTGCCACAGGAGGCAAGGCCAGACACAAAATGGCTGCCGCCATCTTACCCTCAGTCACACCGAAGTGGTACCTATTTATCTACTTGCAATGTCTTGCTTTCGACCTGCTAGATTGGCAGGAGCTGGAACTAGAGACGGGAGCTCACTCCGTCATGCAGCACACTCGGGTCTCGAACTGCTGAACGACCGACCTTCCACAGCCTGCAGTTCAGCATCTTAACCACTTGAGCCACCGCACCTCCAAAATGGAATATAATAAATAATAAACGTTCAGAAACCTGCGCAGCCAGTGGGGAGCCTGGATGGCCAGAACCCTCACTTGATCCCACCCACTTTTTAAGAACACTGGGCGGGCACCAGGAAAAGTGTCAGTGTGTGTCATGGCGCCCACGGGCACCGTGTTGGGGACCCCTGGAGTAGGGGGTCAGTGGGGTCCACCCTAGAAAGAGCCCTGTCCATAGGCTTACCAAGGACCTACCTCGAATCGGCGGGGGACACATACTTCTTGTCAGGAACATTCCTGCGCGGAAAACAAACGCGCCGCACCATGCCGTCACCCAGACGTGACGCCAGCACGCTGGGCACGTAGCTGGGTGACGCTCTGGCAATGGAGCGGGATACATGATGGTACACAGCGTGCTGGCGTCATGTCGGTGCAGCGGAGGTGTGTTACACTGAGGGATGTTCCTGCCGGGAACCATTTGTCCCCTGCCGATTCGAAGGTAGGTACTTGGTAACCCTACCTGTCCATCAGTCATGATCCACTGGCCCTCAGATGGTGGCTTTCTCCCATCCACCCATGGCCCTGGAATATTTGCCTGGGATGTGGTTCAGTGTTGTGGCGAAGTGCGCCGACTCTAATCTGGGAGAACCGGGTTTTATTCCCCATTCCTCCACATGCAGCCAGCCCCGGTGCCCTAAGCACGTGCTTAGTCTGCTTCATGGTGAATCTGGCCATGCTGACAAGGTGTGCCAATCATTGGGTGGCCAATCTCCAGGTGGGGCCTGGAGACCCCCTGGAATTACAGGTGACCTCCAGACTACAGAGATCCGCTCCCCTGGAGAAAATGGCTGCTTTGGAGGGTGGGCTCTGTGGCATTAAATCCTGCCGAGGTCCCTCCCCAGGGCCCTCCCCCAAAAATCTCAAGGTATTTCTCAACCCAGAGCTCTTAAGGGCACAGGACACTGTACGTGGTCCTGAATTCGACATCCTTTCTGAAGTTTTAGCCTTTAGTTTCTAGCCCTGAGGGCTTTGATGATAGGAAGCAAAGGGGAGGGCGGGGTCCAGGTGCACAGAGGGAGGGGGCGGGTCTGGGGATGCTCCGAGGCCTGACCCACCCGACCGCTCTCCTCCCCTGCCTCCAGGCCTTTCCAAATCTTCGGACCAGGCGTACATCGAGTTCGAGAGCGTCGAGGCCATCGTGAAGACGGCTAGCAGGACCAAATTCTTCATCGAGTTCTACTCCACGTGCCTAGAAGGTGGGTAAGCCGCTCTGACACTCCTTTGGGTAGTGAAGGGCAGGGTATCAATCCAATCCTCTTCTTCTTTAATGGGGACCCAGAGGGGCTTCCCTTGTTCTCCTCTCTCATTTTGTCCTCACAATGAACCCTGTGAGGTAGGCCACGCTGACCGGCTGAAGCTCCCTGAGCAAAGCGTGAGGCAGAGTCGGGTTTGCAAACCTGTGTTCCCAGGTCCTCGTACGACAGTCCAGCCCCTGCCTCGCACTTCTATGCCAGCATTTGTGTGCGTCCCCGTGGCCAAGTGTTACCACAGTGGAATAATTATCTCTGGAAGACCCAAATACGCATGCGTGGCATAGCAGGGCAGCTTCCCTAC